CCCCACAGTGCTTTCTGAGCTCAAAGAGAAGTAATACAGATAGGTAGTCCTCATTTTTATCAGCTGCATGGTATCCCATTCTGTAACTGCACTGTAATTTATGTAATCATATTCTATAGATATACAATTTCCAATTTTTTCCGATTAAATTGCTTTACACACATTCTTGCACACCATCCTTGTGTACACCTTGTAGTTTTGTTAGGATAGATTCTAGAAATAAAATGAATAGCCCAAAGAATGTGAAAGAATGTTGTTGAGCCTGAGGCTGCAGATTGGATGGTCACAATGCATTTATGAATGCCTGCATGTGCATACCTCCTGGGCAGAGTATCTGTAGTTTGCCAGCATTTCCTCTGTCTCACATTGCTTATGTGTGGAAGGATGTGGGTTTTTGTGTTTTGAAGCAGACTAGATCAAATGACTTTTAGAATTAAAATAGGTATGTGATGCACTTTATTTTCACCTCTTGGATAATGGAAATAGGCTGTGGTGTTAATAATTGGAATATGCACCCAATTCCAATTTAGCACTTAATAATCAAATCCAAGTAGCCTGCAGGTCAAAACAAGTGCAGCTCCTTGGAGTTGAAGCTGGAAGGAGCTTGGTTGCAGATTGGTATTGGCTCTGCTTCTGTTCCGGCTCCAGGAAGGAGACAAATTAACTGGGTACAATAATCCTGCTGATTAAACAATAGCTGCCTAATCTAGGATCAACTTAGATATCCAGGACTGCAGAGAACTCCTTGCTCTCCTCTTAAGTGTATAATTCTGCCTCTTAATATAGCACAGACAACTCTGCCTTCTTTATCTAGTTATGATAATAGAAAATGGCTCTTAATATTGGAGGGTTTTTAAGCTTTTTCAAAGAACGTTTCCACAGTTGCTTCTTCAAATTCTTACAATAGCAGTTGCAGGCAGGGGAAGACATTTTCTAGATGAGGAGACCCGTGACTTCTAAAATTCAGACAACTGAGTCACGAGAGCCCTGGATGGGAAATTCCAAAGATCCTAACTCGAGCACTGTAGACACTACAACAGCTCATGGGAAAGCAGGAGATTCTAGGAAATAGCAGTGAGCAGAAGGATGTTGCTTTGCTTCTTGAGATATTTCAAATGACAAATGATTGACTACTTGGCCCATAGAATTATTTTATGCGTTGGTAATAAGAACAATTTCTTTTCGGGCTACAACAATTCTAATAATGGATATTATGACTTTAATAGCTATGTGCTTCATAAAATGCAGTTCAGGAAAATGGCTTCAAAATGTGCATTCATCATAAACTAGGCAATTTTCCTGGGGATAACAGGATGGTAGAAATGCTTCATTATCTCTGACTCTAAATATACATAAAAATAAATCCAAGTACATTGTTACTGCAAAATTAATATAGTGTGTTTATTACAGACACCTTTTTTTTACCCACACGAAATAGATGTGAAAATGTGTGTGTGTATATATATATACACATAAACACATTTGTATGTATTTGTATATATATAAATATATATACATGGCCTTAATTAGTAGATTATCGTATCTTGTGCTTCCCGGTGACATAAGGAGCTTGTGTGTGCTAGGGAATAATGACTGTGTCCTCTAAATACACTCACACCTAGGTGACGTCTCCTTCCAGCACCACACTGCCGTCTACACACACAGCAATGGAGACGTCAAGGACACAATGGCCTCACATGGCAGGGGAGCGTAGTCGTTCCTGGTTTATAGGCTAATTGGAATTTTAAAAAGATTTGCCACATTATCCTGGCAGATGGTATTTTGCTTTATCATTATTCATGGGTATTAATGACTTCTCTCTGGAGCATGTGTATCCTGTCTCTTTTGAATTTCATTACATTTCATGCTGACTGCTCCAAACAGAATCAGATCCATTCTTTTCCATGCAATGTGCAAGGGACCGATCATAGGCTTGGTCAACGTTTTAGACTTCTTTAGGAATTCAGTGACTCTGAAATGAAGACAACTTTTTTCCTGCTCTGTCCCAGCAATTCCATGCCATTTCACAGTTTGTTCAGCTTGCTATTTCTTTGGGTGGTGTGTAATAGCTGGTGTATACAAAGACAGTTTCAGAATGGAGGTAGCCTTCATTAGCCTAAGATTGTGCAACTTTTTTTCTTTCTCCCTGCAAAGGTTGGTGTTTGGCTTCTTACCATGGATGAGAAGGTGATCCAAAGTACTGACCACAGATGATTATTTTTTAATGAATGCAAAGGTTGGTGCTTAGCTTCTTACAGTGGATGAGAAGGTAATCCAATGAACTGAACACAGACGGTTACTTTTTAATGAATGCCTTCAACAAATATTTATTAGAAAACTGCCTCTTCTTTGTTTAGTCGATCTCTTGAATGTTTAATCCCCAATAAGACAGCTGGCTAATTCCAACCAGCTAATTACCTGAGGGGAACATTACATCACAGAGCAGAGCAGCACCAAACAGAAAATTGGGATGAGCGGAGGTCATTGTCCTGACTTG